GTCTCCTTCCTCACGATGTTGCAGAGTCTGACCACCCAGCGCGCAAAACGGCGAAAAAAAAAAAAATATATATATATATAGGCAAGAGTTGCTTGTATTGGTTTTACATGACATACATTTTTTTCAGATTTCTCTGAGATTTCTTTTTCTTTTAATAATTTTTTTTATGTTCGTGTTTGGAGGGTTTTTGGCGCTCGTTCACACTCGGCCGAACATGTTCGTGTTCGCCTCCAAACGCCAACACGATGTTACGCCGCTCAGTAGTACAGAAGCGTCCTTCAGCAGCCACCTCCAATGCTTTTTCATTGTCAAATGTGGCAGGCCGTGGTTGATTCATCGAGGACTGGGCCCTTCCAGTACTGGGGGGTTCCCACTAATTTCCATATGCCTGGGCCGTTACTTTAACGCCCCGCTTTATTTAGTTCGCCTGGGTCTATACTTAGCCCCCCGGAATATCCATATTTAGTTCCCCTCACTAATATCCTAAGCGCCGGGACTACTCTATGCAGCCCCCTGCTGGGCATTGCCAAGGCCAAGGGGCATTGCACCTAACAGAAACAGAGAGAGGGGGGTTGGGGGGGGGGGGGAGAAGGGGGGAAGAAAAAGAAGACATTAAATTACAACAGCTGAACTTTTTCTCCGCTGAATGCAAAGTTCTAAACTTCGAACAACTTTTTTTTTTTTTTTTATTACAGTCTAACAACTTTCGTTTTTTTTCTTTTCTTAGAAGGGTGACGGCCTTGAGATATCATCGTTGGACTGACCGGCCCTACGTAGGTAATTCAGAAAATTATGTTATTCTGTTCATCTGATTCTATCTGGGTTTGTGTCTCTTCTCCTCTCTCCTCACACCTCTCTCTCCCGCATCGTGCTCCTCCTCCCGAAGACCAGCATCACCCACACCAGCTTCCGCACAAGCAGCCCGGAATAATTAGTTTTCTTTGGGGGGGGGGCAGGGGGAGGGGGCGGAGAGAGAGAGAGAGAGAGAGAGAGAGAGAGAGAGAGAGAGAGAGAGAGAGAGAGAGAGAGTTTCAACAGCCCATTGGTGTTCCAGTTTAACAACTTTTCATTTGAAACACATAAATGCAGCGCATCACGTGGGCGCAAGTCGCGCACGTGTGGCGCATAGCACAAGCGCAAGCATGCGCACGCACGTGATGCGGCGCACCCCAATAAATAGGGTCAAAAAACACAATTTGTAACAGCCGGGCTGCCGTAGCCAACCATGCCCCTCCCTTCTAGACATCCTAACAGCACAGATAAAAAAAAGTGGCGCCGCATATTCCCTGATTGGATCATTGGATAATCTCTTCCGAAGGGCCCGCAGCAGATAATCACCAGGGCCGCACTTTTCTCAGATACGTTCGTCCAATTTCGGGTTGGAGAGGGGCAGGCCAGCGATACATGTTCTCGATTCCAATCCTGAAGGTCATTCATTCTGAACAAATGGTGGGCGGGGAGGGGAAGAGGAGAGGAACAAACTTGCAAATGGGTGGTCCACTAGTCACCACTTGCACGAAAGACAAAACATATGGCGGTGTATGGTTTTCCATGTTCTAGCAGAAGATTCATTCTAGTTTTGCACACTACTGCCCAGAGAAATCACGAGCTTAGCAGTCCCATAACTGCTGAAACCCTAAACCTGAATGCGAATCTACAGAATATATGGTTGCCCAGCTCCTACCCTGTTGTAAGTCCAACCACTGCCTCCTTCGTGGAGAGAAGACCCTTGCCAGTTATCTGCAAAAGCCTCTCGGATCACCCGCAGGGGTATTCCAACTAAAACTGAAAGGGCTCTTTGTTCTCTCTCGCTCTCTCTCTCTCTCTCTCTCTCTCACGTGTTTTCACACATCACAGCCGTTTTTTTTTTTTTTTTTTTTTTTTTTTTTTTTTTTTTTACATCGGTGATCAGTGCACCGTACCGCATGGTGCACCACACACTTGCGCCGCAGGTATGGTTGAAACACATAAACAAACTTGCAGAGAAGGGAGGGAGGGGGGGCGGGGAGGGGAAGAGGAGAGGAACAAACAAACAAACAAACTTGCAAATGGGTGGTCTCCTTGGAACATTTCCCTGCAGCAAGCACTGTTCCCAATTCAATCCTGAAAGACATTTAACTGCCAATCGCTGGCCCCGCATTTGAAACAAAAAGGGGCCTCCTCCGGTGAGCACAGGGCTTAGGAAAGGTTCGGCGATCCGCAGCCCCGTCCCATAAGTGGCAGGCAAACCATGCATGGGGCAAAAAGACGGCTCGGATTTTCTTTTTGAGGGCGGACAAGAAGTCCACATCTGGAAAAGGAGGCTCGGAGCGCAACTGGCGGTTTAACACACGTTGCAGATGTGTGAAGGTACAAAGACGAAGCAAGGGCCCTTGTCACGCCATGAAATGGAAAAAAAAAAAAAAAAAAAAAAAGAAGGGGAGTGCGTCTTCCTCAGAAGGTGGCTAGATTCATCCATTACGATCCCCTCGCAACGGATTGTTTTTGGGCAACCAACTGCAGCAGGAAGGTGCAACCACTTTTTTTTTTTTTTTTTCTTTTTGTTCCGTGAGCGGTGTGGCGATGCCCATAGTCAAAAGGCCTGTCAATCAGCCGTTAACAAAACAGATAAGATGCGGGCATGCATACTTGCACTAGGACATTTTTCGACTTCTCTGTGGACGTAATTGTGGAATGGTGCATCCAGGCTGGGTCAGAAAAGCGTGGTCATATACATCCAGGAAACTTCCCCGAAAGTCCTAGTGTGAGTATGCCCTAAGAATAAACACGACAGTTAAATTGAAGTCCGCCGCGGCCCGATTGAGATACGAAAATAGTAAAATACCCCTTCAGCATCCTCATCAAGGGGCATGACCCTGGTAGGAGTGATGTCTCAGGTTGGGCAGGCCCAGGTGATCCGGTCCATTTGTAAACTCAGGCTTTTCTGAATGGGGGCGGTTTAAACCACCACTACCCCCCCCGTCATAAATTAGGGGGAATCGGTAGCACAGGTCCATGAGGGCTACCGGTAGCAAAGTGGGGGGCACTGGCGAAGTGGCAAAAGTCGAATCACCCCCGCGATTTATTTCGCGGTTCAAATGATTTTTATTACTTTTTTTTTTAATATTTTTCCTGTAAAGATCACGACAAAACCTACGGACGCTCCAATTTTCAGAGTTGCTGGGTCATTCTTCTGATCGCAAAAAATCGTGAAAGTTGGGTTACGTTTCCCGTTGGCCCATACATGGTAGAGTAGCAAAAATGGAAAACGTGACGAAACGGCGCGGCATTTACTTCACGGCCTAAATTTTTTTATTTTTATTTTTCATTTTTTTGATATTTTTCCTGGAAAGATCACGACCTCATCTCCACGATATCAATTTTTCAGATTTTTTTGCCAATTTTTCTGAGCGCGGAAAATCGCCAAAGTTTGAGCTCGAACATTTCTGGACTGGACCTGCCTGCACCTGCTGGTCGCCACCCCCCCTAAGAACCCGGTCCGTAAGGCCAGGAAAGTCCATTTTAGGCCGGCGGGGGTACTGGTGGTTTAGGCCACCAGTACGCCTGAGCCTCTCTTTTCCTGACACGGACCTGACGCGGATTTCTGCTTGACAAACGTGCTGGCCTGGGCATGTGCTGTTACTTTTTTGCCTGCCACCACCAGCCATTTCTGTCCAGCCACCAGCCATTTTCCTGATGGGAATTTCTGCTGCACAAACGTACCCACGCCAGCGCATGCTTTTACTTAATAAAAAAAAAAAAAAAAAAAGGGAAAAAGCCCTTTGGTGTACCCTTTAGATATCATCATTGAACTGACCGGCCCCAGGCAACTCTAAATAATTTTATTCTCTTTTTTTCTGAAGGTATCTGGATTCGAACTTGAGTCTATTGGTGCTTTTAACTTTTTGCCTGCCACCACCAGCCATTTCTGTCCAGCCACCAGCCATTTTCCTGACGTGGATTTCTGCTGCTGCACAAACGTACCCACGCCGGCCCATGCTTTTACTTTTTTGCCTGCCGCCATCAGCCGTTTCTGTCCAGCCACCAGCTGGAAATTCCCTGAAGGTCGCAGCGCGTTCACGACGGCATTCGCGGAAAGAAAACGGCTGTGGAACGTACCGGTGGTCTACAGGAAAAGCTCGCCAAGAACTTGTGCAGCATATAATTCTTCGGCGTCACCAACAAAGAAACGAGAACAAAAACCCGGGTTTGACTTTTTTTCTGGGTTGACAAAAACCCGGGTTTGACTTTTTTTCTGGGTTGAATTTTTCTGCGCGCCCAAAATGCATTCTGCACACTGACTTTCTCTACGCTATAAAAGGCACAGCAAATTGCATTGAGAGTCAGATCAGCCTCGATGGTCTCCAATCGTTCGATTCCTTTCATGGTTGCATCTGCGAAGTCATATTACATGGAATAATATATATCAGAATTGCTATGCAAACCTTCTTTTACGGACTTTTTTATTACTAGAAAAAAAAGGACCCAGTACCGGGACCATAAGGGCCTTTTTTTTTTTTTGGGGGGGGGGGGGGRAGKGGGGGAAGTGAAAATATTGAGCTCGGTGCCAACGGCTGCACATCGATCAGGTGTCCAACATGGACTGCATAGTCATGATAAATTTCTTTTCGCTGAGGGTCACCTCAGAGGTCATTATTGGATCGAAGATGGGAGGGAAACAAAAAAAAAAAACAGATTCAGACTTAGGCACCCCATTCTGCACCCCTCTAAGCCCCTTTAACCACCACTACTTGGCCCAGCTATCGGCCGCGGAAAAAATAATGTAGAAACGTTTCTAGTCGGATGAAGTTGGCGCACCTGTAGTGGCCCATACATTTCCTAAGATCGTGGCTTGTTAACAGGCACGACTTTAGGAAGTACTGGTGGTTTAAGCCTCTTTAAGCCCCATTTACAACCCCCCCCCCCCCCTTCCCTCTCCAGCAGACAACATTGAAAAACAAGATAGAGTCAGGCCCCACAAATACCCCCCCCCCAAATGGCGCACAGGGCATTTCGGGCTCAGCAGGGGAAGCGTCATAAATACTGGTGGTTCACAGTACCCCTACCTTTCATCAGGCCGTAAGGCCTAAGTCTTAAACATTAGCTATATCCATTCTTCGGAGGCTGGCAGAGGCCCAGGCGCTACCGAACCAGAAAGGCTGTCGCCACCAGTCCTTCAAAAAAAGGAAAACGCGGCGCTGACACTTAGACCAAACTCGGAGGTAGTGGTGGTTTAAAGAGTTAATTAAAATGCAACCTACAGAAGACAGCAATCTGTGAAGTCGTGAACCATTTTCATTTTGACTGTTTCTCGATCCATGCATATGCCATCATCCCTGGGAAACGCACGGGCCATTCTACTTTTGTCCAGGTTCAGTGCACTCGTTCCAATTTTAACAAACGTCCCCCCCTTAGAACAGTTGTCAGCGCTCTCGGTTTTCATTCTACGGAAAATGGGAATGCGTCGCCGGCAGAGCTTGCCTCTTCAAAGACATGGAATAGATTCCATTTCACGGAACTGCAAAGTAGCACAAAACAACAACAACAACAACAACAACAAAACACACACACACACACACACACACACACACACACACACATTGTGTTTACAACTTTACACCGCTACCAATTCACCGCCCACTTTTGGGACGAAGTTGTCAACTTCGAATTCTTTTTCTTTGGCGCCTCCGCCTCCAAAGAATTGGAAGAAGTTGACAACAACGTTTTGTCCGAGCCGCGCCAAAGAATTTGAAGAAGTTGCCGACAACGTTTTGTCCGACAAGTTGGCACGAGGCCGAGCCGCCAAAGAATCTCGGCCAGATGGAGCTAGCTATTTGGAAGGGCTGCGATAGCCAAAAAGACTTTAAAAAGAGGGGGGGGAAATGAGTGCAAGGGGCCAGCTCGTCAGAACTTAGCAAGCAGCACAAATCTGCCATAGGAAAAAGAGGGTCGGAGGTTGCTGGGGGGGGGGTGTAAGGACACAGAAAGGCAAAGACCGGCAGCAGCTGCAGCAACAAGACACGTAAAACTATCGGTCTCTCCGGTCTAGGGTTTTCCCACCTTTGGAAAGACGAGTCCATGGCCGCGTTGTCGCGTTATCATGAGGGTCTCCACATCTTCTTTCCCCTCCTCATTCACTATCCATCTGAAAGGGATGCAGCTGGACGACCGCCACCATACCCAAACGCAAGGAAAATATGTTAGCAAACTACCAAACATGTGTGCACGCACACACACACACACACACACACACACACACACACACACACACACACACACACACAGAGACAGAGGCATGCACACAGGCATGCACACACACACACACACACACAAAGGCATGCATTTCGTGGGGAGCAGCACGTGCTGGGAACCGGGCCCAGCGTTGGCCTGCTCATGGAGTACGACAAAATTCAAAGCGCGCCTTAGCTCAAAGGGTAGAACTTTTCTGAATCATTGGAAGGAAGGTCCCCTTGGATTCTCTGCACCACAGGGGCCCTCTAATTCACGTCAAGGGGCACTTTGCTCTATTCTACTTGCTTCGTAGTTCCAGTCTTCGAGTGAGTGAGTTGAGTGAGAGGCCGAAGTAAATTAAAGAAAACGCAAGAGCGCCCATAGGATCACGTACACAGACGATTTATTTTTAGAATTGAATTAATTTCGCCAGATTCTCTCTCTCTCTCTCTCTCTCTCTCTCTCTCTCTCTCGCGCGCGCGCGCGCGCGCGCGCGCGCGCGTACATACACACATATGACCCACTGAAAGATGGGTAATCTGTGACGATGACGGTGTAGACGTATTTGATGGACTTAAATTGAATGATAAAGATATCAGTATACACGTGGCAAAAATAGATAGGCTCCCTCGTGTCTTTTTTTTTTCCCTTGTGTTTTTTTTCCTTTCTGGTGAAGTGTGTGTTCTTTTCCTGCTGAAGATAGACATCACTGCAAATTATTATTTATTTTTTTTTTAATTAGCGATAAAGAAACGAAAAATGCTTCTAAAATATAAATAACAATATCACATCTGCACATCTGCATAAAAATATAAATAACAATATCACATCTGCACATCTGCATTTTGCCCCTCACGAGCAGCCCACACGCGCTGTAAACCCCGCCCCGGAATCACTGGGTTGTCATTGTGACCCCTCTCCCCCCCCCCCCCCTTTCCCCCCCCTCCTTCGGAAGAAAGAGGCTGATCAGATCTGTACTGACCCGGTTCAGCACTCGGTGTTCGTTCCTAACGAGCCGCCGCGATACAAATCAGTCCCAAGTCGGTTTTACTCCCTCTTGCGAAATGACGAGACATGAAGGATGTTACAAAGAAAAAAAAAAAAAAGAAAAAAAAAAG